CTCTCATGAGACGATGCTTGCTTGTTCCTTTCATAGCCCCTGTCACGAGTTTCGCTGCTTCATACTGAACGTGTTCAAGAAGATCGCTTTCACTTTCACTTTCAGTACAACTGTCCCACAATACGTCTGCATATTCCATGACAGGACGAATAAGTGATAAATATAACTTACTCAAAGTATCTCTGCTAATTTTATATTTAAGACCTTTAAGCATGTTAAGCTTTTTATTGGCTTTCTCAAAGATATTTACAATATGGGCTTTCCATGAAAGATTTGTGGTTAATTTTACTCCTAGATGTGTATGTTGTAAGACCTCCACAATTTTGTTATTATCAAAAAATAAATCTGGATGGTGGGGTTTAAACCGTTTTACTGAAAAAATAATACTTTCAGTTTTTTTAACGTTAAAAGTAACAAGCCAGCGTTTTGCCCAATCACTAATCTTACTAAGATCGTTATTCGATTTAACTGAAGTAATATCAGGAGACTCGACTATATCGAATAGTGACGTATCATCGGCATATAATATGGGATTTGTTTCAAGATTTTCAGTTATATCGTTAATATAAACTAAAAATAATAGTGGACCGACCACAGACCCCTGGGGTACTCCGGCATTGATATTCTTCCATTGCGAAAACTGACCATCTATGACTACGCGCTGCTTTCTATCCAATAAGTAACTCTCAAACCAACTAAGCAAAGGATCTCTTACACCGATTAACTTAAGCTTGTATAACAGTCCTTTATGCCAGACTCTATCAAAGGCTTTGCTGATGTCGAGAAACACCACTCTTACTTCCTTGCCTAGTTCGAAAGCCTCGTATATCTTATGCGTTAAATATAAAATTTGATTAACTGTAGAATCACCTGGGCGATAACCTGACTGCATAGGATTTAAAAAACCTATGTCAAGTAAAAAATTATAAAATCTCATGAAAACAACTTTCTCAATTACTTTTGATAACGACGCTAATAAAGATATGGGTCTGTAATTTATTTTCAATTGACGATCGACTGTAGTTTTGGATAAAGGAATAACATTAGCCATCTTCCATTGTTCTGGAAAAACGCCAGAGGACAATGATAAGTTAACCAACCGTGTGAAAACATTCGTTATGCCATCTGCACTAACCTTAATTATTTTATTACTGATTCCGTCGGGACCACAAGCTTTTGTTGTGTCCAAACGTCGAAGTAAGCGATTTATTTCACTTTCGGTGGTGGTAATAATAGACAAGAAAGTAGCTGACTGAAATGGAACTATTTCGTGAGGAAGAATTGCAGCACTATCGTCAATCATGCTCTGACTACTAAAATAGTCGTTCAATAATTCTGCTTTAGCTCTAGCATCGCTTATTACATTTTGACCCTCAATAAGCGTTGGTACAGCAACACGCATTTTTTGACCATAAAGTGACTTGACAATTCCCCACCACTTTTTAGGACTTATTTTGGGATCACCAAGGTCCTGATTTAGACTGGCATAATATTTAACTTTGTTTGATCGAATTTAGAATAGCCAAGATAGAACATTTAAAAACACCTGCAGCCTTAGTGGAGGAACAAAGAACTTGTAGATAGCGTATTAGAAAATATCGTTGAAAGAATGGATGATGAATTATCCAATCAAAGCGAAGCTATCAGTAATAGCATAATTATAACGGAAAATGATCTGAGGGAACCAAGAGGTATCCTAAACGTAAAAAGCAACTCAGGTAAGGAAAAAATTGACTATCTTGAAATAGAAAGAGATCATTGGAAAGAACTAGCTGAAATCGAACGAACTGCAGGACGTGAACAGAAGGCTCTCCTCTACGAAGCAATGGCAGACATGGCAGAGCTAAAAGCGGACGAAATAAGGTTAAGATCAAACGAACGACCTACGGGATCAAAAGCCATGTCCATCGTGCAAGAAGAGGTAGAAATAAACGATCTTACAAGGTTCGAAAGATTTAAAAAGTGGGCAAAAGAAAACATCTCTGGAATATCAGTCGTATACGCAATATCCGTAGCGGGTATCATCACCACTATTATTATGGGAGCTAGAAGCGTAGCAAAAAAGGGAGCAAAAGCAACAAGCAAATTCGCAAAAGCAATGGCAAATCTAGCCGGGAAGGTTGGACCCGTATTAGCATCCGTACTAAACCTCATCGCCAAAGTTTTGTCATGGGGAGCAAAGGGCGTTGCGTTCCTGGCGAACAATCTTTGGATTTTAGCCCTAGCACTAACCTACTTCTTGTACAACGAATACGGAAAAAGAAAAAGAAAATCACAACGATCATCAAAGACATGAATACCCAGAACCAGGTAGCGTTACCAAATTCAA